AGATGCCACCCACATGTTCACAGAGAGACCTCTCCCCTTGTGTGGTTGGTTGAATGTAGGGAGAGAGACCACACTCTTGAGTTCACCTAAGGGAAAAGTTGTTGCCTCCTTTTTCCAGTCTTGTGTCAGTATCTGAATTTTAAACTAAGCTTTAAAAAGTGATCAGAATTCTTTCTGCTGAACATTTTCATCAGCAGATTGTTTGGTCCAAACCGGGGCTGTGTGGGCTGTGTGTGCTCCAGAGGAAGGCTGCTGGGGGTTGGGGTCTCTCAGATTAACTCTGAGGCAAAGAGAAACGTTCTGCCATCATTTTGGAGCCAGAAAATTGAAAATCACACTTTCCAGCCTCTTATTTCTTCAGGCATCAGATACTGCCCCAATTATTAGCTTTGCTGTTTCCTCATTTTGAGTTCCTTTAGGAATGGTAGGAGGTGCCATCCAGTCCTCTTGATCCTGAACCTCTTCTGAGGCTGCTTTGATTTAGGATAGATCCCCATGTTGTACATAGATCTCTGTGTGTGATACACTCCATGACTGTGGAGTTTCTTGGCATCTGCAGTGGGATTCCTGCAGCAAACCCTAAGGTCCCACTCCGAGGTAATGATCTGCGAAGGAACCAGTTAAAACAAATGCCTGTTTCACTTGGGATCTAGAGAGGCTTGCAAACATGCCAGACCTCTGTAATGGATCTCTGGAGGGAGAACAGTGCCTGGAGGAGCTCCAAGTCCCACCTTCTTCGTGCACATCACTAAAGAACAGCTCCCTCCTGTGCCCGCTGAGCCCGGGACAGCGCTGGGTCACAGCGAGCTGGTTCTCTGTGGAGACATGGATTGGCTTTTTAGGCATGGTGTCTGCTGGGTTGACTGGGGAAAAGTGCCCTCTTTTGCATTTCTTGGTGAGTTTTTCAACTGATAGATTTTTTTTTTTCCACTCTCCCAATGATTGTAACAGGATTTTATTCTCCTGCAGCCAGCTGTTAGCAATTAGCAACTTGATCCAGTCAGGCCTGAGAACAGAGTTTAACACTTTCTTGCCTCTGAGAGGATGTTGCTAATCCTGTTTTTGCTGGGTTTGGGCTTGTGCTGGAGTTTTGGCACCTGGTGTGTATGTGTGGGCAGGTCAGGAAGAAAGGCATGAGTACAGCAGGGGACTCTAATGCAGCTGAAAGAGCAGCAAGGAAAAGTATCAAGTCATCTACCCAGAAAAAAATCATGGGGAATAGAATTTCTAAGGAGTTTGTACAGAGGGGTGTATTTAGTAGTATATTCCAATGTCCTAGCACTGGGAATTGTGCAGCTTGGAAGTCCAGTCTGCTCCTGGCTGAGATTTAGACTCAGCAGAAATCAGCAGAAATCAGTAGTTCTTCAAACAGGGATTTCTGACAGTACCAGCTCCTGAGTGGAGCTGAACCTCCTCTAAATGTTTCACCCTCCAAAGGGGTGAAGAACACTCTTGCTGACCTTGCTTAAGCAACACCAGCGTTTGAAGATGAGCAGTGGCACTGTTTGCTCCCTCTGTGCAATGTCTCTCCTGGGACTCCCAAGCAGGCACTTTGGTGGTCCAGGACTGGGAACCAAATGTGGTGGAAAGAACAAACCCTGCACAGCCTGAACCCAGCTGCTGAGGTCCCTGGGTAGGGCTGAACTGCTGGAAATGATTCATCACTGCCACATGCAAGGTGAGAATTCATGTCACCCAGGTGGCCACAGCTGGTCCAGGCCAGCCTTCTCCTCTGTCAGCAGCAGAGACACATCAGAGAGCTTTCATCCTGCTCCTTGGACATTCTTTAGGCAAAGCCCAAATTCAAAGCCATCTTTTGTAGGCATGGAGCTTCTGACAGGTGAGCTCTAGAGCCAGCTCTGGAGTTTTCCTTTCCTCCCCTGGATGCCAGGTTGGCCTCTATGGCCACATCTTCCAGTTTTGGCTTGGAGATGCCCCAAGCCACACTGTTTTTGTGGAGCTGCAGAGGTCCATGTACCCACGTCCTGAGAAGCCCCTGGCTCGCAGGGTGGGAGACAGCTCTCTGTGCCCCACAGCCCTACCTTCCCTCCAGCCTGGTTCCTGGCTCAGTGGCAGGAGCTGCCATGGTGCTTGGGCATTTCTGTGTGACTTCCCTTGTCCATCCTCCACCTCATTCCTCCTTTCCTCCTGATATTTTCACTCTTATCCCCACATTCAGGCAGTTAAATGATGTGACTAGCTCTGTGGCAGCACAATAGGTGTCATTTAGAACATGGTCTGAGCTTTGCAGAAAGCAAATAGAAACTTAAATTATCCTGCTTGGTGTGTACCTGGTCAAGTGAGATAATGGTCCTGTTTGTGGTGCCTTTATTCTGTTGCTGGGACACTGGTGGCCGTTGTCATGGCTTGCTCAGGGTGATTTTGAGAGGATGGGACACACTTAGCACAACTTCTCCTTTGTCAAAGGAAAGTCCTTATGCTAAGTCCCACCTCAGCACCCCTCAGTGGGGGCTGCAGCCCATCCCAGCTGGGCTGGGAGGCAGAGGATGGGTGCTCCCCTGCTCTTGATCCTTCTTTGCTGGGCTTTGGATCAAATGGGAAGCTGAGGCATTTGAACACTTGGCAGTGTCTGGGGCTGCTCTCATTCCTTTGTTGTTTCAGCAGTGGGCTCTGGCCCTCACCTAGCCATGTGTGATTCCTATTGCAGTGCCTTCTGGCTCTCTCTTCCCTTATTCCTGGACAAGTTAAAGAGAAATCCCAGGGTGTTTTGGTGGGAGCTGTCCTAAGTCTTTATGGATGCCTGATTTCACCCTGTTTGCCAGGCTCTGGGGGGTGATGAGGTTGTGCAGTCCATGTGTGCTGTCCTCTGCCATCTCAGGGCTCCAGTAGAGCTGGCAGCTTTTAAAACTCCAGCTCATTGTCACCTGGGAGATGTTTCCAAGCTGCTGTTCTCCTGCCAGGACCTCTTCAGCTCTGTTCAGTGGCTGGCCCAGCCTGGGCACCCACGGGAAGGATCTATCCCAGGCTTCACCCATATGGTGGAGCTGATCTGGGCAGACACCTGGGTCATGGCCAGGGCACCTCGTGTACCACCAAACAGGTCTCTGCTGTGTTCCCATCACCTCCTCCAGGAAGGTGGTTCAAGTTAAAGCCTTAATGTTCATGACAAGCACCTTTCTGAGGTCCTGTGGCAGGACTGTTTTCCCCTAGAGCTGAACTCTCTGCAGTTCCCTCTGCAGGTCCTGCTTTGGGAGCTTCCAGGACACCTTAGCAAATCACCTGCATAAATTAACACCCACTTGTCTTCAACCTCTGCCACAAAACTGTCTCTTTACAAAGTCTCCCTCCACTTGACTACAAGAAGTCTGTGCTCCTTGGGAGTTGCCATCTGTCCTGGGATGGTGGGAATCAGTGTGTTTTCATCGACCATCACCCCCTCCCATTTCAGTGGGGAAGGGTGACCTTGGGTCCACACACAGCTGGAGAGTGCTTGCTCAAAACCTCTTCTGTGGTCCCCAGACCCTCCTGCTGAGATTTGGGCTTTTCCCTCCGGCGCTTCACTTTCACTGGCCACCCAAAATGCCACGAAATCACAGCCCCTCGTTGGCAGCCCCCTCCCAGCCCTGGCCAGGGCCTTGGGGTGGGGATGGCTGGAGCAGGAGGGGTGCTGCCAGTCTGAAGGTGTGTGTTGGTTTGCTGGCCTGGTTCCCTGGCTGGGCACAGCAACCACCCAGCATTAGCTCCCCCTCCCACGGGCATGTTTGGCTCCTTTCCCAAGAGGCCTGTGGTTGTTTTTCAGGCTCAGAGCCATCTTTTCTGCTGGAATCCAGCAGGGACAATGGCCAGTAGCATATCCTTAGGAGAGAGAATAAAAACAGGGCAAGCTTCAGTGATTCTAACCCTGATTTAGCTTCTGGGCGTCCAGCAATCTGTGGTTTCTACCTTTGGATGGAAGAAGCTGTGGTGTATCTGTCTGTTGTGAATGTATCCTGTTCCTTTGGTATCCACGGCAACTCAGGGCTGCCACTTGTACAGTTTAATTATGTTGGGTGGAAAAATAGAGCCTTTTGTTAGAAACCTCTGAGCTAATGGCATCTGATGCTCCTGCACTCATGCATGCACTGGCATAGTGATGGGCCCTTTTGTATCCTTTCTTCCTTTGCTAACAAATCCAGTGTTGCCTTTTTACTACCGCTCTGAGGATTCTTGAGAAACACCCTCTGGTCCTGGCAGCTTTACACTTATTGATTTGTTCTGTTTGCTTCTGGCATTTCGTTATGAGGCAGAGCCTCTAACCCTGCCTCCTGTAAAATTATCCTCCAGGATGGGAACCTCCCGAGGCTCTTTGTAGTGAATGTGGACACGAAGAATTCGCATAACTGCTGATGTGACCTCGTGCTCCTTTAGGTGTTATCATGGCTTTCCACTGAAATTGCCAGTGTTTGGGCTCTTTGCTATTTTCCATGTTTCCAAACAGGAAATGGAGCGTGCTCGCACATGTGAGTGCACATGCATTTTTGGCAGCAATGTGGACGTGTGGGGAGAGAGATTTTCACCCTGTTTTGTGCATATATCTTAAGGGTGTGTGGCAAGTTCCAGAGTGCCCACTTGGCTGCTTGGAGTAGGCACCTGGTGCAGGCAGAGGTGGATAAACCCTGCTTGGGGAGCCAAGTTCATTGTCGCTGCAGCTCCAGTACTTGTTAATACAATGAGGAAAGCGAAGAATTGGTGAAGGAGAGATAACTTTGCATTGGATTTGTTTAAGAGCAGTTAAGAGAGTACATCCACCCAGGAGTCCTGGCAGCTGAGTGCCTGAAGGCTGAGATGCAGTGACAGCTTTAGAGGTGGTGTAGACAGTCAGGTGATTATTAGTTCTTCACTGATGCAGTGATGGGTCAGAGCAGGGCTCAGGGCAAAGCCACTCTTGAAGGCATGGAAGGTTGCCCAGCCCATCACGAGGCGATGACAACACAGCCAGTGTGCAGCAGAGGAGCCCTGTCTCTGGAGGACTCTCACCCACTCTTTGCTTTGTCTTTCAGAAATGTAGGTGGCAGCTGCTGCCCTTGAAGGACTCGCACCCGTCTGACCCTGCGGCGCCTCCGACTGCTACCATGATCTTCTGCATGCTGCTGCTGGCCTCACTGCCTGAGCCCTCTGGCACAGAAGTCAACCCTGGTAGGGAGAGTTCTGGTGTCCCACCTTTCATCTGCTCCTTCTCAGCCTTTCTTTGCCTCTTGTGGCGGTTGCATGCGAGTGTACAGATTTGATGTAAATACAATCACTAACGCAGTTCCTGAATGCCCTGCTCTGGGCTGGGATGGCCAGTGTTCCTTGACAGCTCTGTTGGGGTGGGACACTCCTCCTGCCAATCCCAGGAGGGCTCAGGCACATGGACATACTCCTTTGTCTTCCCACCCAGAGGGTCTGTGCTCTCAGCAGGCTCTGAATATCCCCTCACTGCTTCGACCATGTGTCCTGCAGAACAAACCTGGCTCTAGGCTGGCTCAGAGATTCTGTGCTCACTGTGGAAAGCAAATCACCAGTTAGCAAAGCATCAGCCACAGCTCTGCAGCCAGCAAGGGGCATTCTGGAGAGAGAAGTGTGGAAGGAAAGGTGGAAAACCCCACCTGGCACAAGGCTAGGGTGGAGACAGGGATGAAAGCCTGTGAGTCCCTGTGGAGGGCAGAACCTCTTATCCTCCAGCATTTGGCAAGATACAATCATGATGAAGATGAGTAAGATAATTGTCTGTGATATATTGCAAAAATTCCTATAATGAGGTGTTTTGAGCTGGAGACAGACCGAGAAATAAATGAGTCTGATGCTTTCCCAGCTTGGCTGAAGGTGTGGTGAGGCTGCAGGGCTGGCTCTGCTGGGGCTGGCTCTGTTTGTTTGGAGCCCTTTGTGGCTGACTCTGACCCTGCTCTGGCCTGTGGATATTTGCAGAGGTTTGAGGTTGTGCTGCAACCAGCCAGAAGTGAAGTGAGGCCTGTGGGGGAGCTGAGCAGCTCTGCAGTGCTCCCTGTTTCACAGCCATTCCCTGCACTGGACACCCCAGCACACATCCAGGGTGGGTTCTGCTGGCTAAACCATCGTGGAGGAAGAGGGAAGGTGGCACCTGGAGGGTCAATCCCACACAGATTCCTTTGGGTGGTGATTAGTACAGAGATTCCTGCACCCAAAGGTGCAGGAATAGCTTCCCCCCTCCAGCTCCAGGGAGGTGGGGTGGGCTCTGAGCACAAGGCTGTGGGCCAACCCTCCTGCACGAGTCTTTTCCTTCAAGAAACAACCACTCACACTTCTCAGTTCTGCCTGTGACATGCTCAGGCTCCCTCAGCTGCTGTGCCCTGTTCTTCCCAGCCACACTGCAGCACCCTGGCCCAGCTGATGCTCCTTGGCTGTGATGGCCACAGGCTCCATGGATTGTCCCAACCTCCTGATCCGATCCAGGAGCAGTCGGAAGCACCTCCTGCATTGGCTTCCAAACCAAGGGGCTGCTTTGTGGGTGATTTCAGACCCATGTAGGAGGGTCCTGTGGAGTCTCTCTCCTTGCATCAGTTGTCTGACCTCCCTGACAGGTGAGCTGTGCCATTTCTCTGAGCCCCAGTGCCTCCTGTCTGCATGGCAGGTGAGTGTGTCCCTGAGTGCATAGTGAAGGGTCAGGGGTATCTGAGCAGGAGTCCTGGTGGCACCTGAACATAACCCAGGGGTGGTTTTGCTCCTGATAATGTGCATTTTGGTGAAAGCCTCATGCTGCTTGTTTTAGTGAGAGCCATGGCCACCTGTAAGAGTGCATCTCTTGATGCCAGGGACACTCTGGCTTCTGTCTGCCAGCCCTGGGGTTGTGAACAAACGAGTTTTGTTAAGGATTGCAGTAAGTCCCAGTCCCCCAGGGACCTTCCCAGCTACCTCTCCATCTGGCACTGCTGGGTGGTGTGTGTTTGACCTTTAAATAAGGTGTGACCATACAGGACTCCCACTGCAGGAGCACAAAACCCACTTTCAGATGATGACCCCACCCTTCTGGAAAACCTCCATGTATTTACCCGTAGCTCAGTGACAGGGCAGCTCTCCAGTAGTGGATCAGGGTGTACTGGTCTGTGGTGGGACAGGTAGGAGTGAAGACAGTCAAAGGTAATTCAGTTTACTAAATAACCTTATTGCAGAGTGTCAGAGCAGTAGGTAGAGCTCCTGGCTGGTTCTCAGCAGTCACAATCATGCTTGATCCCAGACAGACACCAGTCACATCCCAGGGAATTCTACAGAGAGACCTCAGGCATAGGAGTGACTACTCTGGGGAGACCAGAGGCCCATCCAGCTCATGGCCTGACCCCTATCAGGGTCCCATCCCTCTGGTTCTGGAGGAGTGCAGGGATGGGCAGGCACACAGCACTGCTTTACCTCAGGGGTGCTCTCACATCTCTGCAGCTTTCAGAGCTGCTGCTTGGGTATTTGCTTGTGGTAGCTGTGGGTCTGTCCAGCTGACTGGTGTTTTTGAACCCCTGGGGACCTGTGGCATTGGAGTGTTTAATAGATTAAGGATGTATATACTGGTTTTGAACTCTCCTGCCTGACCTTTTGATTGCTCCTGGCTCTGGTATTTTGAGAGACAGTGAGGGTATATATTGTTCAGGATATAAATGATCTTTGTCATACTTCAGTAATTCCTTGTGTAAAGATGAGGCTGCTGATCTTTTCTTTTTCATCATCTGTGTTGCCTTCTCTGCCTTTTGATGAGAGGAGGAAGGAGCCAAGAGCTCTATTCCTTATCTACCTGGCATCTGACCACAAATACAGACAGTGGTGTAATGCTGTTTTCTAGTTTATTTTATAGGTATTACCATAATTTGCTTTTTTTAATATTAAATAATTTGGTATCATCAACAAACATTGTCACCTCACTTCCTTTTCAAGATTATTTAGCAATATATAAGGTGCCTGGCAGCTGCAGGCAAACCTTATTGAAGCACCCTCTGTTTGCAAACACTTCTACATTGAATGTCTTGGGTAGTTATTCAGCCTGTGGTGGTTTATCCTCTGTGGTGATAAAAAAGAGGTGGGTTTCATCCCCCTGTCTTTTCTCTTAATTGTTTCATTATTTAATCCTACCTGACTGTGGGATTAAATAGAATAGAATAGGGATAGAAGCTCTTTAACTCCTCCCTCGTTACTGGGCTGGTGAAGATAATAATTGTTCCTATTTGAACACAAGTGGAGCATCCAGTTTATCCCAGGAGAAGCAAAATGTTTAACAAAAGCTTCCTTTTTATATCACATCGTTATCGATAAATAATTTTTCATTGTAAAACGGGCCAATGCAACCAGTAACAATAACATGGTTTGGGATTTCATGTTCTTAAAATGTTTCTTTGTAAAGTTCTGCTTTTCAGCTCTGACTGAATGATACTGCAAGTATCATTCATTAAATGACTTATAATTTCAGTTTATGGTAATTATGAAGTATTTAATGCTTTTTGTTTGCATCCTTTATTTTAGCATTACCATGTTTATTCCCTAGGCACAGTAGCCATTTAGTTAAACTCACCTGGTGATTTAAAAAAAAAATCAGTACTGATTTATTTTTTTTTGTGTGTTGTTTGCTTGCTTTGTGTTCCCATTCCCAGCCATCTGCCGTTATCCCTTGGGAATGCACGAGGGGACCATAAGGGATGAAGACATCACTGCTTCCAGCCAGTGGTATGATTCCACAGGACCCCAGTATGCACGGTGGGTTCACCTCTGGCAAAAAAATTCATCCTTCTTTTTTTTTTTTTTCCTTCTAAACACCCAATGTGTGATTTGGGGAAGAAGATCCCTCAGCCTTAAAACCTGTTTGCTTTGCTTCCACGTTAAATCTGGTTGGTGCACAGTGAAAGAGCCAGAGGCAGTGGTCATGGCCTCAAGCTGTAATACAGGAAATTCTGATTTAATAATAATAATTTAAAAAATGCCTCCCCCGTGAGAATGAAGTGGTGGGACAGGTACCCAGAGAGGTGGTGATGTCCCAGTGTTCTGGGATGTTCAGGATTTGGCTGTACAAGGCCTGGAACAACACAGTGTGGCTTTGGAGTTGGTCCTGCTGGGAGCAGGAGGGTTGGACTGGAGGCTCAGAGGTTGCTTCTGCCCCTCATCTGCCTGCAATTCTGTGGATAAATCTCTAATGGGTTTGTGACTTACAGGTCAGCCAGGGACAGTGCCCCTGGGGTTCTTGTAGAGTGCTTGAAACGAAATCATAGGAAATCCTTTATAAGGGTGAACTTTTCAACAGCATCCTATTGAGGAAATGGGCTATGCTCACTCAGACTCAAAAACCTGGGAACTGCAGAGTTAAGGAATTGTTAACAAGCAGTTAAAGGATTTTCCTTCACTGTCAAGTGTTTGCCATAAGCTTGACTTTTCATTTTTTTTGGTCGTTTTACTTCTCTCAAAACTGATGATTCACAAAATAGTTACAAATGTGAATTTCCTTAGATTTGTTTGTAGTGATGATGCCAAACACTCCTACAGTTTTGGTGCAAGTCAGATAAGAGTTTCAGATTACTATGGTATTTTTTTGATGAATTTAGGCAGTCCAGAATTCATAAAATTCTCCTAGTGCTTGATTATAATTTTTTCTGTCTGTGGTAGAACAGCCATGCTGTGTGCTGTGTTTTAGGGGAGTCTGGACAAGCCTGTGGGCCTGAAAGCTGAGAGACCTATTTTGTCCTCTGAGTTATGCCCTATGTCCAGTTCTGCAAACACTTTGGGCATCATTTACCATCTGTTACCATCATCCCTTTGCCAGGGCAGCTGGATGTCCACAGGGTGAAGACATGAAGCAGCCTCTAGCTGACTTTGTTTGGTTGGAGGTCACAGTTGTCCTATGCAGATGTTTGTTCCTGTCATTTCACAGTCCCTTTTCCTGCATTTTTTTATAGCTTTTTACTTGCTTCTTCTGTCTTTCACAAACAGCTGACCAACAAGAGACTAAAATCTTCTCTTCTCTAGCCTGAGCCTTGACCTTCAGCATGTCCTGGGTCCCACCTTCCTTGGTGCTCAGGGGCTGGCACACTCTGATCCCATCAGTTAGAGGTGGATAGCTGTCTGAAAGGCAAGGGCACTTCAAGGCCTCACTGTTTGCCAGGAAATCCCTGTAGCTAAAAAGCCCAGACGTGTTTTTTTTGGTGTCCAGATGAATTTTTCACCACTACATCTCTCACCACCTCATAGCCTGGACAGCTGAGCCCTCAGCAGCCTGGGCCAGGTGCTTCCTGCTGTGGCTGATGGATGCAGTGCTGTGCTGGCCTGTGGATTCATGGAGTCACAGGCTGGTTTGGGTTGGAGGGACCTTAGACCACCTCAGTCCACCTGCATAGGGCCAGGGGACAGCTCTTCCACTAGCACCAGGTGCTCCAACCCCAATCCGATCTGGTTGGACCACTTCCAAGTGGATTGAGAACCCAGTTCTTCTGGAGCAACTGTGCAGGGCCCCACCTCAGCGGAAGAATTCCTTCCATATCCCATCTAACCCTGCCCTCTGCAGTGTGAACCCATTCCCCCTTGTCCTGTCATTCCAGGCCCTTCTCAGAACTCCCACACAGCTCTCTTGGAGCCCTTTTAGACATTGGAAGGGGCTCTACAGCTTCTTTTCCAGGCTGAAAAACCCCAACCTCTTATTTCCAAGGATAATCTTTGCCTTAATCTTGGCAGCTGGTGCCACAATGTTCAACTTGGAGGCAGAGAACTTCCCATCACACACCCAGCAGTGTCCTGCACCAGCAGCTCTGGTGGCTGAAAGGAATGTGAAATATGCATTGAGATGCCCCAGAATAATTTGTATATGGGCAAGATTTCTTGCTAAATCTTGTAGATTTCTTGCTAAAATGTATTTTTAAGGTGTCTCCTCTTGGTGCTTGGTAGAGCTGCAGGAGGTGGTTGAGCAGGAGTTCAGGCCTTACCTTGTGGGGTTTAGGAGCAGTGAAGATGCACTTTACTAGCAAGGTGTTACAAAGCAGTGAGCAGGATGGTTGTTTCTGATCAACATGAAAGTAAGTACACGTCTGGGAAAGAAATTATTTCGAGTAGTTAATGAAAGATGCCTGAAACTGAGGAGCTGTTCTGAACTGCCCATGGGACTCCAAGTCTCACCTGGCCATCATCCCAAAGGGCAGAGGTATTTGGCAGCCATCTGCCAGGTCTCACTTGCTGTTTTGGTTGATTCCTCCTGACCCTCAAAGCCTTGGTGTTTCCTCAGTTGCTGGGAAAGCTGGATCCCTTGGAAATACCGTTCTTTGTGACGGGTGTGGTTTTCCCCTCAGGTTGCAGAGGGAAGAGGGGGATGGAGCCTGGTGCCCAGCTGGCTTGTTGCAACCAGAAGATGTCCAGTTCCTTCAGATCGACCTGCACAAGCTGTTTTTCATCACCCTGATTGGCACCCAGGGCCGCCACGCCCGCGCCACGGGCAAGGAGTTCGCCCGCGCCTACCGGCTGGACTACAGCCGGAACGGGGAGCGCTGGATCTCCTGGAAGGACCGCCAGGGCAGGAAGGTGAGGGCAGGGGGCTCAGTGGAGCACACAGGGCAAGTCTCAGAACTAGAGTGTGGAAGGCACATCCTCTGCATCCTGCTCTTTCCTGTCTCCTCGCTGCCAGGCAGCGGGTCCTGCCTCGGCTCTGTGTGTGCTGGGATGTTGGGCTGTTGTTCCCCTGACCTGATCCCCAGAGCACAGCCGTTGATGTGACAGAAAACTGGGTCTCTTCACTGCCTTTCTGTGCCCGTTCCAAACATCCTGTGAGTGTCCCTCTACCAGCCATTTGCTTGCTTCTAAATTGGAAGCTGCAAAGCAGATGCCTGCTTTGGCATTGAAAAAGGGAGGGGGTGGCAAGGAATGGAGAGGAGTTTCTGGGTGCCTGATAGTGTTCAGGAAGGAGTTTAGAGAGTAGAAAATGTGCTGAGCACACACAGAGAGGCCTCTCCACTCACCAGAACTGTGTCTAATGCTATTTCTAGACCTGAGCACAGTTTGTTGCTGGCTGAGCCCTGGTCATGTTCATAAGTGTTTGTTAAACTTCCCCTGGGAAGGAATCCCTGTCTCTCAGCTGCAGCTCCTGTAACCTGGTCCCCCTGCCTCAGGCTGGCTTGGGGAGTCTGAAGACCTAAGCCAGACCAGAAAGGTACTGGGTGTGGTGATGTTTTCTTGCACTGGGTGTGCTTTGGAAGTCACAGCAGGGTCTGTAGCAGTATTAGGTAACAACCTTTAGCTTGTTAATGAATTATTTGCTCACTCAGACCTTTGATCAGCTGTTTGTTCATTACCATTGTCTTGCCCATCCCTCACATTTTGGTGTGTGCTGCAAACTGTGTTTGCAGATGGGAGGGGAAGTTTAAACTCAATGGGCTTAACTCTTTGTCAGTGTTTGGTAGGTAAAGTCTGTCTTCATTTTGAGTTACACCAAAATTCAATTGGTTGCACTGTCCACAAGCAGTTAAATGCCCCTTGTCTCCCACCCCAGGCCTGTGCAGAGCAGTGTTCTGGGGCACTCAGGGCTGTGTTAGTGTCAGGTGTGATGATTTAGGGCAGGTCAGCTTTTACAAGATCTCCCTCTTAAGCCCTAATAAGGTAATGAGCTGTGTGATGCTGTAAAGTGAGGCATTTGGTCAGTAAATGTGGAAATCCACATTTACTCTGTCAGTGTGTGTGTACCTGTTCCCAAGTGCATGAGAACAAACAGTTTTTTCTCCTAGTATCCCTGGAGGAGGTGCTTCTGCTCCTCTGCTCCTCCTGGCCTGAACATACACAATGGGGTGCAATTCCTGCCATTTCACCTCCTCTGAAAAATGACTTTTCATTAAAAAAACGTGTTTTTCAAAATGTATCACCAGTAAATGATGTATTTCATTAGTAAATCCATATTTCAGAAGTGCTGCTCTCTGGTCTCATAACTGGGTAAAAATGTCCTGTAAAGTCATTCAGACTTTGGAATGAGGTGCAGATGGAGGTGCAGGATCCCAATCTATTTATTTGTATGCACTGGGAAGGCCTCTTTCGGTCCTGCAGCTGCTGGATGCCCAGCCACTGGTATTCCAGAGCTGTGACTGTGGGAGCCCACCTTGGCTTGTCTCTGCCCAAGGGATCACACAAATGGTTTCAGGCAAAAAGCTCAAACCCTTTCCAGTTTCACAGCTGTAGCACACGCTGCTGCTCTCCAGGACAGTCACTTCCAGCTTTTATTTGCCCAGTAAAGGCTAAGAGTCAGTTTGGTGTCCCCTTGTCTCTGACTCCAGTTGAGGATGGTCCCCTCTGTTGGCATTGGTGTTGAGTGGTGCTGTGCTGTGAAGTCCTGGGCCCTCATCAGATTGTGGTATCAGCCTGATATTCCTGACATTGGGAGCACTAAAATCAGCAGTGTCCAGGACTGGAAATGATGCTGAGTTTGTTCCACACACAGCTGATTCACTTTGGGATTTTTGGCCCTGGGTAACTGTGCTCAGGAGCAGCAACCCCACGTGTGGAGATGTTACACAAATGTTTCTTGGCTTAGCTGAGGAGACAGGCAGGGTTGCCAGTGCTTCTGCTGTGGAGTTCATGCAAAGGTGCCTCTTTCTGAGGGGTGGCTGAAGCTTTTCTTCCTCTGTCCATCAGGGACTTTTTGACTTGATGTACCTTCCACCTTAGAGATTCCCTGACAAACAGCCAGCTTTGGAGGATATGTCCATCTGATGTGATGAAGGCATGGAATATTCTACTATATGCTGTCTCCTCTTGGGTTTTATCTCCTGTCAGCATGGCCTTGTTGGGCCAGCCTAGGTGACTTGCAGGTCTCCTGTTGCAGGCCACCAGAAAGGGTTAATCAATGTCCCTTGGTCCCTGAGGACAAGGATTACTGAAGTGTCCCTGCTCCACTGGGACAACTGATGGGGGTTTCTCCTAGAAGAGATGCTGGGAGGCTGCACATTAGAGCCTGTTGAGGAGCTGATGAGGATGAGGAAGAGAGCTTTACTTTTTGGCTTTCCTTCTGTTTTCTGTGGTCAGTTCCTGGGCCTGTGCTCCTCTGTAGAGCTGTCCAGCCATGTCCAGGAGACTGTCACAGTATCCCATGCAGTCCAGTAGACCTCCAGATGTGTCTGGCTGCTCTTCAGGGAGATGCAGTCAGTCTTGAGTGGTTTCTTTTTGTGATACAATAAGGTCTTTCACTTCTCAATGGTCTCTCCAGCCACAGTCACTCTCTGGAGGTCTTCCCTGCTGCCATGAAGAGGAAGCCACCCTTCTGCTCTCTTGTTGATCTCCCTCATCTTCTAAATTGCCTGTATATGCACAATTGCAATCTGTGGGATCTTTTGAGTGACCTCAGCCTGATTCATCCTTCCCACCAATAACAGCTTTGAGCAGAACCCCTCACAAGTGTAACTTGGACTTCTGATATAAAAACTGTTCATAGTTTTTTTTCCATAAGTTCAAATCCCTTCTAAAAAATCTCTTGGGCACTTTGTGTCCACTGTGGGGGGATTGAGAGCCTCAGCTGTCTTCACACACTGCCAAAATAGAGTGGACTGCTGCCAGAGCTAGAGTGGCAATGAGGGAAGGGGACAGGGACAGTCCCTGCCCTGTCCCAGTGCATTGCAGCTGGATGGGGTGACTGTGGTGATGCTCAGCACTTCAGTCCAAGATCTCTCCTGTGCAGCTGTTTGCACTTCCATCCCTCAAACACTGCAGCACCTCTGGAATTTTGTTGGCTTATAGAGAAAGGACATCAGGACCCTCCACTAGGTGATGAGGGCAAGCTCTCAGTTACCTGTTGCTGGAATGTACATGGAGACTCTTGAGGAAAGAGGTTCCATTGTAGTAACTGGAGCTGTCTGCAACACAGATTGCACCTTCACCTCCCAGCTGCCTCTCTCCTCTCCCTCAGTGCTGCCTGATGGGGGTCTGCAGTGGACAGGAGGTGAGATGGCAGCACCTTTCACCCCTCAACCAGGAGATGGAATGGCAGCACCTTTCACCCCATGAGCCCCGTGCCAGGGAGGAGGAGGAGGGGAGCAGCAGCAGCTCACCCTCTGCAGATTCCCAGTCTCAAACCACAGGGTACAAGTGCACCAGTGTGCAAATGAACAGCACAGTGGGGAGCAGTTGCTGGTAAAGGATCTTTCTCCCCCAGGTGATCCAAGGAAACATCGACACTTACGACGTGGTCCTGAAGGATCTGCGGCCCCCCATCATCGCGCGGTTCATCCGGGTCATCCCCGTCACCGAGATGCCAATGACAGTCTGCATGAGGGTGGAGCTCTATGGCTGTGTCTGGTATGGTGAGTACCCATTTCCATGCCTGTCAGTGTCCTGGCACCACACTGGCTGGGACTCACCCGTGTCCCCACGGGTGCAGAGGGGACCCCAGGCCACGGAACTGCTTCTGTTGGTCCAGGCCACAAATAAAAGGGCCCTGTGGGCAGAGATGATGGAAAGCTGCTGCTGTGTTTCTGAGGTGTTTGGCCTTCTTTTTTAGATGGTTTGGCATCCTATAGCATCCCTGAAGGAGGGACAATAGCAGCTCCTGGCTTCCCCATCGTTTACCTGAATGACTCGACCTATGATGGATACCAGGAGCGCAGGTGGGAGAAGTTGTCCTGTTCTCTCTCTGTCACTGTGCAGATTCTCTTCTTTCTTCTCACTCTGTCACTAGTATCTTGTATCCCAAACACTGGGAGCTGCAAGTTCTCCAAAGCACTGTGGCTTTGTTATTCCAGGCCCTTTGACACGTTGTCAGTTGGTGTTTTAAAGGAGGGCTCAGGATGTATAAGATTCATTTCCCCCAACTGACAAAGGCTGTTGGCTGGAAAGAAATAAGTTTTTATTATTGGAAGGTGTTTCTTCTCTTTAAAGAGATGACTGTTCTTAAATATCTCAATGTTCTCTTTACTCATCATAGCTTCAGTCTTTACATGATGTGACCATCCTGATGTCTGATTGCCTTGAAGCCCTCATGGCTCTTGGTCTCTAATTGTGATCATACTCCTTGCCCTGATTTCTCTGTTGGTTCAGGTAGAGCCTTTAGCTGTCATTGATACTGCAGATCTCAAATTGCTGCCACTCTTCTGTTGCCCCAGACTGCAGTGGCAGATCTGGCTGGACCTTCTGCCTGTGCAGTCCCAGTGTCCCTGGAGCAGATGAAGGTCCTTCCCCTGTTCATTGCCTGTGTTGCTTCTGCAGTTTGACCCCTGACCTGCACTTTCTAGCAAACTGCATCTCAAACTGTTGCAGGAGGTCTCCAGGGTAAACTGAGCGTCCAGGGAAGTGCACAACACCTGAACTCTAGGCCTGCACTTGGTACCTGTGAGCCTCTGGAGAGATTTGAGATACTGTTTTTGAAAACAGAGCTCTGATGGACTCGAAACAACTTGGAAAACTGCATCACTCCCTGTGAGAAGCTCCAGGTCAGCAGAGGCACCACTGCCCATGTGGTATGAGAGGATGGTGGCTGATTACTTGGGTATGATGCTTTTCCAATTTGGAGTCAAAAAACCTGAAGTAACTGGATTTTGACAAGGTCTGTTAATTTTTCCCGTCACTGAGGTGAGTTAGGTAGAGTGGCATGTTTTGAGGTGTCTCTGGTTTACCCAACAGTTGGCTCTCATGGAAGGAAGGTGCATTAGGAGTCTGTATCTGAAATGTTAAATAACTGGCTGAACTCAGAACATTTAGTGTGACTGCTTTCTTTGCTATGAATACAGATTTGAGTGTGTTTCAATGGCTTGAAACCTCAGGCAGACTTGGGCATGGGTATCCTGAGAGGGCATATCCCTACCAGGGCAGGAATTGCCTAATGACTGATCTGACAGTGTCTCTTCAGTGACCTGGTGTCATCCACTGACTTGAGGTGTTTTCCTTATATGTCCTGTTTCAGCTGCCATTAACTTTCTGTAAATTTTTACTGTTGCCTAATTTTTTGTTATGCTTAAAGGTGATTTTTTTTTTTTTGGTAAGCTTATTTGTATTCTGTCATGCTGCAAGTTAAAATAACAGGGTGGGAAGTACATTCTTCATGCTTGTAGGATGCTGGAAGATACCAGGTAGCAATGTCTTTATATGTTAATATCTGATACTTTCAAGCTGTGCTGATGTAGCAGAGCTTGGATAGCCCCAAAGAAAGGTTTCATGTGCAGCAGTGAGCAGCTGTTGTGTGTAGCTGTCCAGCACTGCTTAGGAAGTTGGGTCTGCTGGGGAGTGTTGGGGAGCTGCAGATTTAGGCACAAACCCCAACCTGCTGAGCAAGGACTCTCTCAGACTACTTAACCTCTAGTTCATGTGCCCAACTGACCTGGAAGCAGGAATCTGCCTCTTCCAGCTGTTACTCCTGGTTTGGAGTCCAAAGGGATGTGTGCCTGTACTCCAGTGACAGGGACTCAGCTGGGGTGGACTCAGAGCTGCAGCCCAGCCTGGCTTACAAAGGCTGCCCAGGGACAGGGGAATGAAACTGGTGCAGGGAGTGAGTTCAGGCACTGACACAGCTGAGCTTTTGCACTTTCCCTGCTGCAGGACAAGGGACGTGGCAGGGCTGGCTCCCAGAAGGGTCAGGAGTGGACCACACTGTCCTCTTCTGCTCTGGGACAGTGCTGGAAAACTGTATAATGGGCTCTGCACCCTCAGATAGGAAGTGGAATCAGGCAGGATCCTGGCAAAGAATCTGATCAGCCTTGGAAACAGCCAGTAACACTCTTCCCTTGCACAGGAAGAGCCAGAAGTGATCCCAGTTAGAACTGTCTGTGACTGGGTGAGCTGCCCGTGATCTCACTGCTCCTTTTCCTGCTTTTCTGTGCCTGCCTGCAGATCTTCCCCCACAGGTTGCCCCAGGGCAGGCTGGAGCAGTGTTCCTCCTGTGCAGTTGCAGGGTGAAATACTGCAATTCAGGCTGTGTTTGGAGAACACAGTTTCTGCAGTGTCAGTTTTTGCTCCCAAGAGGCTCTGTGCTCGTAGCTTGGCTTTGCTGTCAGTGCAAAACCTTCTGCCTTTCAACATTTTAAAAGCCCAGCCCAAACAAAATGAAGGTGATGTTGCATAAGAGCAGTGAATGAGTTCTTGTCCAGGGTGGTTTCAGAGTAAACTGATATTTTCCTGGTACCTGTTGAAAGCCCTGTGTGGTCTCACATTGGAGCTCCCCTGCTGCTGCTCTGGCTGACTGTGGGTTCTCCCTTGCCAGGCACCTGTATGGGGGGCTGGGCCAGCTCACAGATGGTGTGCTGGGCCTGGATGACTTCACCCAGAGCCACCAGTACCGTGTGTGGCCAGGCTATGACTACGTGGGCTGGAAGAACGAGAGCTTCAGCACGGGCTCCGTGGAGATGGAGTTCCAGTTCGACCGACCACGGAACTTCACCTCCATGAAGGTAAGTCAGGGTGGTCCCTCTCCTGGGGGGCAGGCTTTGGGGGCTGGGTGCTTCCAGTTTGCCCCTTTGGGTCATAGAATCATAGAATGGTTTGGGTTGGAAGGGACCTTGCAGCTCATCACATTCCACCCTCTGCCATGGACAGGGACACCTCCCACTAGACCAGGTTGTTTCAAGCCCTGTCCAACCTGACCTTGGGTCCTCTTCCCAAAGCAGGACGATACAAGGTGCCTGACAGCAGAATTTGAGCTGGAGATGTCCCAGGTTGCCAGTGTAGAAAGGTGAAGTAGGGGAGCACTTGCCTCTCCAGAGCTGAGATGGTGTCCTTTGAGCATTTGGTTTAAAGGCATTAAAAGCAGACACCTGAAGCACTGCTCAGGCAGCCAGGGTGGATTTAGGGTCTAGGCTCTACTGTCTAGGGACTGCCTGACCCTTGAGGTGAAGGAATGTGATTGTGCTTCCATTTTGCCCAAGTGTTTCTCTGGATGCCTCGTTCTGTGCTCGTGCTGTGGGAAATTATTTAAGCACACAGGAAAAGCTCGAGCTGAACTTTGAGTCTGTAGTAAACAGCAGGATCTTTTAAAAACGATTGGTGGCTTTTCTTGTAGAGATTTCAAATGAAGGAGAACCCACCACATCCTTAAGTAAATTGTTTTGGTGGTTACTTACTCTGGTTTTATTTTGTCTATTTTTAACTCGCAACCGTTGGCTCTTTGCCTGCTTTCACTGGCAGAAATAAGAGTCCTGCCTCCTCTGAAATCTGCCTGTACACTGTGATTAAACAACTCTCTTAAGCTTTGCTTTACTAAACTCAGTTGGCTGGACTTCTCAGTGCCTTCCTGCTGAGACCCAGGGTCATTTTTGGAGCTGTCATCCAGTGCTTTCTTTCTTTGCTGGTATTCTTTTAGAGGTACAGAATCTGGATCCAAATCCAGGCCTTCCATCAAATTGCATAAAAGAATGGGACCAATTTCCTGCTTCTGGATGATTCTTTTTGTTTATGAATCTTGTGATGATTTTAGTCCTCCAAACCAACTGAGAGGGAGGGTCATTTGGATTTTGGTATCATGCTAATAGCCAGTTCCAAGTTACTGGTGTCCAGAATAAAAGTCCAGTGTGGAAAGCATCACTTACATTTTTGTCCCTGAGTTCAGTGCCTTGACATGAGTCAGTCTTGAAAGCTTCAGATTATTTTTGGAAACTCCTTCCCCCCCCATTTAATTTATTTTATTGGTAGTGATTCTGCTGTCTCTTCCAGATCATTGAAAAACATAGCAAATAATTTTTATTTATGAATCCATTCCTGTTTTATAAACACCTAGAGAACAATTTATACCTTAAAACTTTGTAAAACTTACTAGTTGACAATGTTTAATCAAATTACTATAATACATGAGTCCATACTGTGCTAATTGGAGACAGATGCTGTGAGTAAATCAAAGCCTTCCAAGAGTCTGTCATGTAAACACAGCCATCCTGATCAACCAAACACATCATCTTATAAAAACAGCTACTTCATCTGGTATTTCATTATAAAGCTGCTTTTATTAGCATAAATTAGTCTTCATTATTGATTGAATGTTGTCTGTTTCAGCTTTGCATTTATTTTGTACAGGCCAGGTGGTCTGTGAATAATTTTTGTATCCTCTTACCTGGTAGCTTTATCCCAGTCCTCTGAACTTTTCCAGTATCCAAGAAAGTATTAAAAATAAATGTTAGCAAGTAGTGCAGCTGCATTGCAAAATACTTAGGCTTGAATACTGTAAAATTGGACTGCAGTAGGAGGTGTTTGGAATAGAAAGTGTCTCTGTATCAGTCCAAGTTGTGAACATATCCAGCTCCTGTCCAAATATGGCCCAAATTGTATATTTCAGGCATCAGGCTTTCCTGCCTTGTTATGGATGACTGTTTCTCCTTATTGAATAATGTTGTCTGAGCTTCATCTGTTCCTAATTATATGCAAATACTCTTCTTTTGTCCTTTTACTGCTCATCAGGCCTGTTCTCCTCATTACTGCTTCCCTGCTATTCACTGCAGGACCTGGCAGGGGCCAAGCAATTAATGGGGTTCAAAGCTGTGCATAGTTTGGAAACTGTTGTTGTCACAGTGGCAGTACACTCCAGTCATTAGGAAATAATTCCTGGAGTTCTGGAGAGGGTTGGACCTCTGTGGCTATGAGAATGGAGCAGGCTGAAGCCTTTGAGTCACCTTATTCCTTCTGGTTCCTGGTCACTGGGGTCCAGATCTTCAGGTCTGTGTGGCAGAACTCACTGGTGTGTGTGTTAAAAAGGGAGCAGGGTAAGATTTGCACTGCAGACACAGTGGTACAGCATAGATGATGCTTCCAGGCATTGTCCCTCTTCCCAAAGCCTCCTTCCTTGGAGGTGCTGGAGGCCTGGGAGAGCACCAGGAGTTACAGTTCATAGACCACCAACTATGGGCTGTTATTAATTTTTAAGTAATATTTAAGCTGCAGCTCTGGCCTGTTCTAACTGTTATTAATGATCAGAGTCTTCAAGTTTTGCTACAATCCATCTTTACTATTATTAATGATTAGATTATCAGCTCCAGGGTTCACTATAATCCATCTTTGATTTATACAACAGAACCATGTAGTTCAGATAAAGTTCAGCTTGTGGCCTAACAGTTCCAGTTGCTTATGTCAGGCAAGCACTTAGCTATTCAAATAACATCAAATTTTCAACACTAATAGAGTCTAAAGCCTAGGTGTGTTTTTTCTTTCCCCTCTTAGGTATATGTTCAAGGAGAATTGATCTGTGAGGCTTTAGATCAGTATAGGGTTTGTTGGATTGATTTTTTTATATGGGCCTTTTGAAGAGCCTGCCAAAAAGGTGACCATTAGTGTGGCTTTTGCAGGTGAAGTTTTAGAGCTGCTTCAGAAGAACTTTTTGCACAGATGTTCTCATTGCCCACTGTGAGCTCCAATGTGTTCATACAGGGAGATACTGGGAATGGAAAATTTTCATGAATGGAAAAATCCTTGAGGCTCGATGTAGGTGTCAGTAAACCTCGGGTTGATGGATCTGTTCTCTCCTTCCAAGGTGCATTGTAACAACATGTTTTCCAAGGGGGTGAAGATTTTCCAGAGGGTGGAGTGCCTGTTCAAACCACGCCTGATTGCAGACTGGGAGCCTGAGCCTGTGGGGGTGGCCACAGTCCTGGATGACAAGAACCCCAGCGCCAGGTTCGTGACCGTCCCCCTGAACCAGCGCGTGGGCAAAGCCATCCTGTGCCGCTTCTACTTCGCTGACACCTGGATGATGATGAGCGAGATCTCCTTCCAGTCAGGTGAGTGTTCCTCTGCCCAGGCAGGCCTAGGAAAGCACAGAGAGCAAAAGAAGTGTGGAAGTACAGGATGTGTGGGGTTAACAGAGTGAAGGCTCTGTGGGGCAACACAGTGGAAAGGAGGAGGTGGGACAGGTCTCCAGTGGATGCTTTTCAGGCTGATGCTGATGCACGTGTACAGGAGCATGACCAAGGCAACCAAAAACTGGACCATAAGAGCATTTCTTCTTTTTGAGACAGTTCATAGAATCATAAAATATCCCGAGTTGGAGGAACCCCTCAGGATCATCAATTCCAACCCCTGGCCCTGCCCAGGACATCCCAACAATCCCACTCTGTCCCTGAGAACATTGTCCAAACCCTCCTGGAGCTCTGGCAGCCTTGGTGCTGTGCCCACTGCCCTGGGGAGCCTGGTCAGTGCCCAGCCACCCTCTGGGGGAAGAACCTTTCCCTGAGATCCAACCTGACCCTGCCCTGACTCGGCTCCAGTTGTTCCCTCAAGTCTTGTCACTGGTCACAACAGTGAAGAGATCGGTACTTGCCCCTCTGCTTCCCCAGTTGCCTGCTGGTTATGAGGTTGATTTTTAGTTCTCTTTACCAGGTATTTTGTTATGAGTAGTTTTAGTAGATCTACAAATGATGATTGAGTTAGCAGATTATTAAAAATGAGAGGCTGACTATTTTTTTCTCAAGTCAACTGTGGTGCAGAGGTTGGTGCCATGAGGTGCTTTAAAAGGCTCTGGAAGGGAAATGACACGAGACTTGGAGAAAACCACCAGCACTGATGGTGAAATGAGCTGACTGTAGCTAATCAGCTGTAGCAGGAAGACATTCCTGAGGAAGGAATGCTCTGGATGCTGCTTGTTGCTGAGCTTGCTGACAGCAGCCCCTCCTGGCTACTCTGTCACATGTGGGGCCAAGCAGGCTGTTGGTCCAGTCTTAGATCATGCTAAAATGGAAAAAAGGCTCTTGTTCAGTGCCCTGTGTGTGGCTGAGCTCAGGGAAGGCCCTGCACACGCTGTGCTGTGCTGTGGCTGGGCTGTACGTGCTGCTCCGTGCAGAGGCTCATCCTGCAGGTGTGCTGGGAAGGGCTTGGGAATCTCTGCTCAGGCTGTTCCTGACCTGCCTGGGCCTCAGCCCAGTTGGGATTGGCAGGAGCAGGGAGGTTTTGTTGCACTGACACATTCCCTTCCCTTCCACAGACATGGAGAGTGTGAATCCCAGTTTTGTGACGGCAGCAACAAGCACGACGGATCTGCTGGAGACAGAGTACAACGTCACTGAGGGGACCTGGGGTAAGGATTTCTGTCCCTTAGCCATGCCAGGGGCTCAAGTGCTGGGGGATTTCACAGTGACATCCTAGTGAATGTGGTCTCTCCCTCCACTTCTGGACAGCTGGGGATGGCCTGGTTATTGCCTCATGCACAGGGCACCATCCAACAGGCTCAGGTGTTTTCTTCCCTCAGCTGGCTGGGGCTGCCTTGGAGTGTGGGCTGAAGGTATCTGTGCAGCCAGTGAAGCTCTGAACACTGTCTTCTCTAGTATGGATCCATTGCAGGGCCTGTTCTGCTAAGGACAGTGTTTGATTGCAGAAGGTCTCTGCACAGTTCTTATCTGTGAGCCTCCAAAACCAGAATTTCTGATAAGAGCAAGATGTGAACACAGCTAATGGTTGTGTTCAGGGAGCTGCCCGAGACCTTTTCTGTACCAGAAAAGGTTAGCCAGCACAGATAACAACCAGTGCTTTAACTCCAGATTCTTCTCTGTACCTCTGTGATTGCAGAAACCACCTCTTCTGTAACCAGCACCTGGATAGGAGAGAAGGCAGATGACTCCAATACCTCCATCCTCGTGGGCTGCCTTGTGGCTATTATTCTGCTGCTCCTGATGATTATAATCATCATTCTTTGGAAGCAATATGTTCAGAAAAGGCTGGAAAAGGTAATACAATGGGGCTGTTTTGCAGACACAAGTTCAGTACTAATCATTAACCCTGATGAGCTCAGAGTTGTGCAAAGCACGAGGTTTCCCCAGCTCCACAGAGCAGCTAAAGCTGTTCTCACAGCAGGAGAGGATGCCAGCCCTATCCAAGATGTTACTGGAAGTTGCTGTGGTTGCAGCCAACACATTACTTAACAGCTGAGCAGAGCCTCAGTTTTTTCCCCTCTCTCCTGCAGGCCCCACGTCGAATCCTGGAGGAGGATGCAACTGTTCGCCTCTCCTTCTACAGCTACACCATTGCCAACAACCAGACCCAGATCCACCAGTCAAATCCCACCTATGAACGTGCTTTCCCACTGGATTTGGAGTATCACCAGCCAGCTACGCTACTGCAAAAGCTCCCAGAGCTCTCCCAGAGTGCAGAGGATTCAGGTAATATCATCAGTTTCTAGAAGTTATGTGTTTATTCTTCCAGTATTTCCATCAGACTGTAAAATGTGCCACTTCTCAGTGTCTTAAGTTCTCATCTTTGACTCCTGTGCAATACAATACTTAACCCAGGGACCTCAGGCAGTATTCTGGAGCTCTGGAACTTTTTAGCATATAACTGTGACAGCTGGAGCAGCAGCCCCACTAGAGGGTGGTGACCTTTTATTGTTTTATGTGAAGACTGTTTATACATTGCCCAGGTCACCTTTTAGCAGCTGGTTTGGACAGTCACAGCAATCACACTTGGTTTGTCTCATGGCAGTGGAGTGGCTGCCTGCAGCACTCTTGGGAGAAGACCTTTAGCACCTTTTTCTTAGAAAAAACAGAGGAAAATGCAGCAGGGAGTTGTCAGTGATGTCCTTGCTTCCAGCCCTGGGGAAGCTTTTGGACCCACGCAGAAAGGAACGTTTCCAACAGTGTTTTGTCCTCAGCAATGGCAGTGCTGAGCAGTGGATGGAAGGGCAGTCCCATTCCTGCATTCCTCACCCTGACAAGTTGCTAAGATCCAGCATTATACTGCACAGAGAGACTGATTGGATTGAGTGAGGGTGTGAATTGGAAGCAGAACAAAGGTTCTGTGTAATACTGACCATGCAGGGAGTTAATTCTAAAGTGCTATCCCGTGATATTTATGTGAAGAAACTGTCAGAGTGAGTGGGGTGTGCTAAAGAGGATGTGGGAAATGGAAGCCTTGATCAGTTCTTGTTCCAGAAGAGAATCCAGAGCAAGTTTGGTGTCACAAACAACATCCCTGTGTCAGGTAATGGGAACAGATTGTATTTAGGATGAATCAGAAACAGAAAATCAGGCTCACCTCTCCATGTCTGGACAAGAACTGTAACTCTCATGACTGACTAGAGCAGGCTGTGTTGAACAGGAATTTGGTGGTGGCTCACAGGTATTTTGGTGTCTGCAGAAATGTGGCTTGTTCTGGTTGAAGCCCTGGTTAAAACCAGGCAGTGTCTCCCATGTGGGTGTCCCTTAGTACAGTAGTAGGTGTGTATTACAACCTGCCCCAGAAAGGGGGGGGTAACCCAGGTTCTTATTAATAAATCCCTTGGGGTGGATTAGAGTGAAACGACACTGAATAATCGGTGTTGGAAAACTTATATGTGTAGGGTTTATTTTAGAACAGTTTTGTTTCAAAGGTAAACAGGTATGTTGCCATTTGGGGTGTTATCAACTATATCTCATCTATAGCAATATGGCATAAAGAAAACCTTTAGGGAAAATGCATAAGGGAGAGGAATAAAAGACAGGATAAAGGTAAGGGAGAGTAAGGGAAAGAAAAGCTGAGAGTGGAAAGATGTCTATAGTCACTGCCCATGGGGTCCAGAGATGGTAGTTGCAGCTTCCGTGTCTGTCAGTTGAAGTGGTGGCCTTGACCCTCTGGGGGTGAAGGAGGGAAGCCCCCACAGCCAGAGAAGTTATGAGTTGTTATATCCATGGATGGTGTCCCAGGCCATGCCTCGAGCCTCCAAGGTCTGCTGGGCCTGTGCAGAGTTCCCGTGAGGGGCCTGGTAAACAGGGCTCTTCTTGCCTTTTCAGGGCACCTCCAGCAGCACTGGCAGGGGGGATGGGTCCAGCTGCCTGTTCCCAGCCTGCAGAAGTCCCCTGGGGATCCTAGAATGCATAAATCATTAACCATTTCAGTCTCTGACAGCGTGCAGCTGGGCTGAATTCCCAGAGGAACTGAGAGGACTGAATGTGGGATTGAGAGCAGTGCAGGCTGGTCCCTAAGGCAGTCTGACATCACCCCTCTCTGGTTTGCCCTCAGTGTGCAGTGGGGACTATGCTGAGCCCGACCTGACCAAGTCCACCCCTCACCAAGGCTTCCAGAACAACGTCCCTCACTACGCCGAGACCGACATCGTGCACCTGCAGGGCGTGACCGGCAACAACATGTACGCGGTGCCCGCCCTCACCGTGGACTCCCTCACCAAGAAGGACATCTCCGTGGGGGAATTCCCTCGGCAGCAGCTGCGCCTCAAGGAGAAGCTGGGAGAGGGGCAGTTTGGAGAGGTACAGCCCTTCTCTTCTGCTGCTCCACCCAGGGAAAGGAGGTGCCTGGTGGAGCTGAGTGTCCTGAGCCGCCTCTTGGTGGGGCTGAGGGCTCTGCATTCCATTCTTTGCTGTGAGAGTGGTTTGAACAGTTTGCCCTGGGAGGGCTGTGGGTGCCCCAGCTCTGGCAGTGTTCAAAGCCAGGTTGGATAAGGGCTAGAGCAGCTGGATGGCTGGTTGTAGTTCCTGGGTGCTTTCCTGGATGCTCTCCATTGGGATACACATTCTGGTAACTTCTTAAGCGAGTGTCTTGTCACCCCTTCTTGTACAACCCTGATGGTAATTTTATGTCTTTGTTTGTTAATTTATCAGAAGTAATGTGGAATTGTGTGTACTCATCAGAGTATTTGTCACTGGGGAGGTGTTCACATCACAGACACACACACACATTTTTTCTCCCTTTTTTTTTTCTCTGGAATTAGAGGACTTTGGATAACTGGTTGTAGTTCCTGGATGCTCCTCAGTTAAGTCTGAGCAGTGGTCTAGTGGGAGGTGTCCTTGCCCATTCTGTGGTGGTTGGGACTAGATGAGCTTTAAGGTCCATCCCAACCCCTTAACATTCTATGAATCTATGATTTTAGTTAATATGTTTGCCCTTGGGGAAAGCTGATGTTCCCTAGGCTGGGCCACAGAGCCCTGTTCTGCAGGTGTGAGGCTCTGCTTGGTGCCACAGGAGCCTTTCTCAGCAGATGAACTTCGCAGACTTTTCTGTTTTGCTGTTTATATACCTATTAATGACCTTATGGAAAAGGGCTGGGGGTGGGAATTCAGCTTCACATCTTCCATGGGCATCTCAAATGTGATGGCTGTCACCCACCTTTAGGCATGTGAGTTTGAAAACTCTCTGGAGTCCAGCTAAGATGGATCCTAGCTGTGTAAAAACAGCTTTCCCATTCCCAGATGAAGATTCTGGGGATGCTCTGCACACTCACCCAAGCCAAGACAGACATTCCCAAGCACTGTGGTGCCCTCATTCTCCAGCATTGCTGCTGCTCAGGCAGTGTGATGCACACATCTGTCACCCACCAAGCTTTCCCTTTGCTCCTTGAGCTCCTTTCAAGCTGTGAATGTTGTCACCCTGCCTTTTCTTCTCTCCCTTCTTCGTTTCCACACCATTCCTAGTTCTGTCCTGAGCAGGTCTTCCCCTCTCCTTCTCTCACTCTTCCAGTGTCATTTTTTTCTTCCCAATGTTTGTTCACTCCACCTTAATTCTACCTGTCAGCCACATTTTGGCAAGCACAGCCCTTTACTGGCTGCTTCCTCCTCTGGATGTGCCCATCTTTGCAGTTCCTCCCTTCTGACACCACACCTCCCCTATCCCAGCCCCTTCCCTGTCCCCTCACTTCTTCTGGCTCACTCTGTGTGCTGGGAAGGTTCTGACATCCTCAGCCTCTTCACCTGGTGTCAGTGTGGCCCCTTCTGCTGTTACCTGGATCCTGCCCTGTCTTGGGCTGTGCTCCAAAAGTGAGACAAGAGAGGGTTATTTTCTCATTGTTTTGCTTCTGGTTTCTCCTTTCCTCTCATCCCTGTCCTTCTGTTAACTGTAAGAACTCCTCCTCTGTGTTGATGGGAGATGGCTCTCCCATCTCCATTTTCCTTGGGGGTGGATTCAGAGCCTGTTCCTCTCCTCACATCACAGGCTCTTGCCCTCACCTTTGCAAACGTGCTGCCCCACATTCTCTCATCTGTCTTTCTCACCTCCTTAGTCTTTACCAAACATTTCCCCCTGTGCTCTGCTGCACTGCTCTGGCTCAGTGTGCAGCCTTGTTTCTGGAAGCATGGCTCAGCTGCTTTCACCTCTCCACTCGAAGCTTCTTTACACTCAATCTTTTTTTTCTTCCTTGTTCCTAACCATCCCCTCTCTGGACTCAGTGACACATTACCTGCACTTGGAATACCTGTGCTTGATCCTGTGGCTCTGTTCCTTGCTCCAGGTCTCGTGGCTGTATTTTCACCACAGCAGATTCATTCCCTGTGGAATTGCAGCAGCATCTTTGTGCTTCTCTTCCTGTTCTGCATGTTTGTCCCATTTTCTGTGCTGTCTCATTTTTCTCCTCACCATGTTTTGTCACTGAAATTCTGGCTGCTTTTTTTCATACAAAATTCATCGTGCTCCCATTACATTCCCCTCAGTGCTGCAAGTCTGACTGACACATCCAGTCTGCTCCCCTCCTCCAGTCCTTGTTCTATCCACACAGTCAGGTCTGGCTGCTTTCCCCACCCAGGTCTCCATTTGGATACACATTCTGGTAACTGCTTAAGCTGTCACCCCTTCTTGTACAACCCTGGCAGTAATTTTATGTCTTTATTTGTTAATTTATCAGAAGTAATTTGGAATTCTGTCATCAGAGTATTCATCACTGGGTGAATGCACTGGTGAGGTGTTCACATCACAGACACACACACATTTTTCTCCTTTTTTTTTTTTGTCACTCTGGAATTAGAGGACTTTGGATAAATGGCTGGATGCTCCTGAGTTAAGTCTGAGCAGTGACTCAGGCCAGGCTGCAGGACAGTTCTGGGCTCCTGTGGCTGGTGTGAGGTGCTGTCCCTGCCAGCCCTGCTGCAATTGTGCTCTTTGCCTGCACATGCAGAGCAGACCCCTCCAAGCTCAGGGGCCTTTCTGAACACCTCTAGTCTGTACTGGGTGAACTGGATTGCCCCAGGAGGCTGCTGCACCAGTCTGAGATTGTGCACAACATCACAGATTCTATGAAGAATTCTTGTGAAGAAACACAAGAACTCAGTATGCTGGAGACACATCTGGCTGCAAGCCCTGTGCATTCCTATGCCATGGGCCCTATAGTGTATGAACATCTTCGTCCAGGATCTAGGACCAACCCAGGGGTTGTTTCTGATCAGAACTGTCACCTTCATTAGATCATTCATTTGCTCATTCTGCCAGCAGTGACCAAACCAGTGGTGTTGTTTTCCTCTGTTTTTCTGCCTGTTCGTGCTCTTACATCTGCCTCTGCCCTCTTCCCTGCAGGTGCACCTTTGTGAGGCTGATGGCCTGCTGGAATTCCTGGGAGTCTCGTCCTCAGAATTCACTCACCAGCCAGTTCTTGTAGCAGTGAAAATGCTGAGGTCAGATGTCAACAAAACAGCCAGGTAAGTGCACCTGCAATACCAACCAGCTGGGGAGGACAGCAAGTACTTTCCAAGCAGCAGCTTCACACAGAGGACTTCTGTAAAAGTGTCATGTGTCTCTGGTGCATATTCTGTGTGTTCATGGAAGGAACAGGACACAGCAGGGAGTGGGGGATAGGGATAGCTGTAACATCAGCCTGAAATGTTGTATTAATCCTGTTCCCTGGGAAAGGGGCAGTGTACAGAAGCACAACCAGCTTTCGCACTTTGCTGTGTGCAGGAGCGTAAACGGCTCTGAATGAGATGTTCTCACGTGCCTCTTGTGCTTTCCTGAGACAGAGGAACAGTTTAGGATACTCAGCCATGTTTTCTGTTTTACAAGAAACGATTTCCTGAAGGAGATCAAGATCATGTCCCGGCTGAAGAACCCCAACATCATCCGGCTGCTGGGGGTGTGTGTGCACGACGACCCCCTGTGCATGATAACGGAGTACATGGAGAACGGGGACCTCAACCAGTTCCTGTCACAGAGGGAGATCTACAGCAAGTTTGCCATTTCAAACAATATTCCCTGTGTCAGGTAAGGGGAGCTGCCAGTTTTGGGATAAATAACAATAGAGAGCTGCCAGTTCCATCTGCTGTGCCCTCCAGGCAGTGACCTTCCTCCAGCCCAGCCACTGCCATGGCACGTGGACAACCAGTCCTGCTTTGTGTGGGAGGTTGTTCTTGAGGGCCCTGGAAGTCTGTGTTCCCCTGAAGTGTCCCTGACTGTGGGCTGTTCTGGTCACAGTGACCATCCTGATGTGTTGTTTGTTGATGTGGCCATCTGTTTATGTTAGTATTTCATTAATATGAGAAGCCAGTTGCATTACAGCAGGAATTTTGGGATGAAAATCAAGAATGTCTCTTAAGATTTAAAGAATGTTCATAATGTTCTCTGGATGGCTGATAAATATTGCTGAGTGTAGAGCTTCACTAAGGAAAAGATTTCATCAGCCTACAGGAGGAGAATATTTGGCAAAGGAAACCATTTTCTGTCAGTGGTGGCACTTGTCTCCCTCCTCAGTGGAAGGATTAAATCTGACATAAAAGCATCCCTGCTATTGCAGAAATCCTTTCCTCAGAGGAGAGTTGTGTGCAGGACTAGCATGTTCTGCCTGATAAAGAACCCTGCACTGCTCAGGAGATGTGGCACTGCTGAGCTTTTGGCATGTTCTCCCCAAAGGATTAGGTGGATTTTGTAGTTCAAGCACGAGGCAGTTGTGCAGAGCCAGTTTTGAGGTGCTGGACAGAACATGACTGGGTTTTACCATGTCCAGGCAACACCCCAGTTGCTGCCAGAACCTGTCAGTGGTCCTGTTGGGAGTGCTAACCTGACATCCTGCAGTCAGGACACACCGGGAGCTGCAGGATGAGAGGATTTGCATCTGACTAGAGACATGTTCCAGCTCTCTCCAGTCTTCTGCCCTTCCTGCACATCAGAAACATCATTCACCTTTAGGCTTGTGGCTTCTTTTTCCCTGGCCAAAGCCTCAAAATGTTCTTTCTTCTTTATCTCCTCTTCGCTTCTCATCTGACTTCAGCACTGTCACTCACATTGTTCTTCCTTGGTTTCCATTACTTGGCTCTACCTCTAGTTTTTCATTCTCTCCTGCTGATCCTTCAGCCTCTTTTGTCCCTCCAGCCAGACACAATGTCACATTAAAGGCAGCAGACTGGCTCAGATAGCTGGGGTTGTTTACTGAGTGACATGAATCCCCCTGCCAAAGAGAACTGCTTGGCTCTGCTGGTGCCCGGGGGTGTCTCATAGATGTGACAAGGTCCAGCCACCCCACTCGTCTCTCAAACCCAGTATTTGGTGCAGCAAATGTGGTGACCAGCCCTTTCCTGCAGAGAGGTCACACATTCTCTCCTTATGGCTCTTTGGTGTTTGAAATGCATCCCCCTGCTGTCCCTCTGGCTGTCTGCTCAGAGTCATTTAGGCTGGAAAAGCCCTCCAGGATAGTTGAGTCCAGCTGTACCCCCAGCACTGCCAAGGCCACCACTAAACTGTGTCCCCAAATCCCACATCCACGTGGTTTGTAAATCCCTCCAGGGATGGTGACTCCCACCGTTGCCCTGGGCAACCTGTGCCAGGCCTGGACAACCCTTTCAGTGAAAAATTTTCCCTGATATCCAACCTAAACCTCCCCTGATGCAATTTGAGGCCATTTCCTGTCCTGTCACCTGGAGAAGAGCCTGACCCCCACCTGCTCCAACCTCCAGGGAGTTGATGAGAGTGAGAAGGTCCTCTCTGAACCTTCTTTTCTCCAGGCTGAGCCCCCCCAGCTGCTTCTTCACCAGCTTTGTTGCTCTTCCAAAGGCAGGTCTGCCTTTCTGCCTTTGGGGTGTTGGCCCCGAGGCACAACGAGGACTCTGTGTGTCCCATCCTGTCCCTCTGTGTGTGGAGCCACTCGTGTGGACCCTGCAGAGCTGGCTGAGCAGGGGGCAGGAGCCAAGAGGAAGCTGCTGATGGGATCCTGGCCAGGCTGCAGGTGGGACAGGAAAGACAGGGCTGCTGGGGTGGGAAGAGCAGCAGCCCCAGGCAGGGAGAGGCACAGCTGAACGTGGGATCCTGGAGGCTGTGCCACAAGCCAACAACCAGCTTAACAGGGGACAGGAGGGCGGCCAAGTTCCTTCTCTGGGGCCTCAAGAGGCCCACCCTGATCAGGAGCAACATGGAGCTGACTGTGGGACTGGCCCAGGGGTCACCCAGTTGGGTTGTGGTGTCACCACGCTGAAGGGCTGGGAGGGAGGTGGTGCCTTGACCCTCCAGCCAGGGCTCTGCTGGGCTGAGGGGCTGCCTCTGGATCACCCTGGTGATAGCTCAGCTGCTGGTTAGGGTAGATTGAGTGCACCTATTATT